AAAAAAAAAAAAATTCTTTTTTTGTTTTGACTTGTTGCTTTTATTTTATTTGTTATACAGATTATTGGGTTTCATTTTGGCAATTTTGCATATGCATATATATTTTTATCATTTTCATCTCCCTCCACACCCATATTTTTGTATTCTTGATAATATCCATTTTAACTGGGCTAAGATAGATGCTAAATGTAGTTTAGGTGGAAGAGAACAGAAGGGAAGGGGACATAAAAAGAATTAACATGTGTTATGTATATGGACCAGCTCCCCAAGATGAATGTAATCATCTTATACTAACAAAAATTTTTAAATGTAGTTTAGATTTGCATCTTTCTTATGGCTAAAAATGTAGAACATTTTTTCATACATTTACTGACCACTTGTACTTCTTTTGAGAAGTGTCTATTCAGTTCATTTGCCTATTAATTGATTGGTGTGATAGCTATCTGATTGTGTCAACTTGAGTAAGAAACGGCTAACTGAACTGGATCAGCATAATTCTGGATGTGGCTGAAAGGATGTATTGAGGACAGAAGACCCACTGCGGGTACAGGTGGCACCAACCAATAAGCTTGTAGCTTGAATAGAGTAAAAGGGAAATGAAGAAGGAAGGCTCGCTTCTGTTTCTTTGGAGGAACTCCAGTGTTCACCTTCACCTTTGAGGTTGTCTGCTGGCTTCCAGCATGGACACTGTGGCTTCCTGATATGAACTCGCATGGGACACTACAATGAGCTCCAGGCCTTCAACCTTTGGCTGGATCCTTCAGCTCTCCAGCAAGTCGCCAGCCTTTTTGCATTCTTCCACACCTGTGTAAGCCTACTTTGTAAATCTTTATGTTTATATATCTTACACTCAATCTGTTTCTCTAGTGTTCGCTTCGGCAGCACAAATACTAAGATATGTTTCTCTAGTGACCACTGAATGATAAAATTGGGCTCTCTGTTTTTTTTGTTGTCAAATTCTTTGAGTTCTTTATATATTTTAGATATGAATCTTTCGCTGAAAGAGTAGCTACCAAAGATTTTTCTCTCATTCTGTAGGCTATCTCTTCATTCTGTTGGCTGTTTCTCTTGTTATACAGAAACTTTTTCATCTGATGTAGTACCACTTGTTGATTGCTGATGTTATTTCCTGCAGTACTAGAGTCCTATTCAGAAAGTCTTTGCCTGTGCCTATGACTTCAAGTGTTTTTCATATGCTTTTTTCTAGTAGTTTCAATGTTTCAGGTGTTACATCCAAGTCTTTGATTTATTTTGATTTATTTTGAACTGAGTTTTATATAGGTTGAGAGAAAAGGACCTAGTTTTACTCCTCAATATCCCAGCACCATTTGCTAAAGAGGCTATCTTTTCTCCAATATGTTTTTGGTCCTTTTGTCAAAAATCAGATGACAAGAGCTGAGTGTGGTGGTACACATCTGTAATCCTAGCACTTGGCAGGCTGAGGCAGGAGGATCACTGAGTTTGAAGCTAGCCTGGACTACATAAGGAGTTCAAGGCCAGCATGAACTATATAGTGAAAGCCTGTCTCAAAAACAAAAAAAATAATTAGATGGCCGTAGTTGCCTGTGTTTATTTCTATGTTCTCTATTCCATTGCTCTGTTTATTTTTGAGCCAATACCATACTATTTTTGTGACTATGGCTTTGTAGTATAATTTGAAATCAAACATTATGATACCTCCAGCCTTGTTCTTTTTGCTTAGGATTTGCTTTGGCTATTCTGAGTCTTTCGTGTTTACAGATAAATTTTAGGGTTGTTTTTTCTAGTTCTGTGAGGAATGTCATTGGAATTTTTATGAGGATTGCTCTGAATTTGTAGATCACTTTTAGTAACAGGATTTTTTTTTTTTTTGAGGGGGAGACAAGGTCTATGTAGCTCACACTAGTCTTAAACCGACTATGTAGCCTAGGGTAGCCTTGAACCACAATAATCCTCCTTCCTCAGACTTCTGAGTGCTGAGACTACAGGTATGTGCCACCACACCTGGTGATATGGCCATTTTAACAATATTAATTCTGCTGATCCATGAACATAGGAGGTCTTTTCATCTTCTACTGTTCTTTCTTCAGTGCTCTGTAATTCTCACTGTAGAGGTCTTGAAAGATCTTGATTAGGTAAATGTATAGGGTTTTTTTTTTTTTTTTTTAGTTATTCCAAATTGAATTGTTTTCCTGATTTCTTCCTTGGCTAGTTCATTATTGGTACATAGAAAGATTATGGATTTTTTTTAATGTTGGTTTTTATATTCTTTTGGGAAAGTCGAATCACCTATCTGGCCTTAACTATCTTTTTGTTTGTTTGTTGAGACAGGGTTTCACTATGTAGTTCAGGCTGGCCTTGAACTCATGGCAATCTTCCTGCCTCAGCCTCCTGAGTGCTGAGATTACACATGTATCCCATCATACCTGGCTAGTCTTAACTATCTTATTTATAAAATGAAGGGTTTGAAGGGTCTCCATAAATTCCCTCTAATTCTAAATTTTTTTTAAATGTTTTTTTCATATATCTGTATTATATGGGGATATAAGAGAAAAGTCATATCCCAGGTACAAAAGTTCGCAACTCAAAAGAGACACAACTACCAGGTGTGGAATGCACACCTGTAATCCCAGCACTTGAAACGCTGAGACAAGAAGATAGCACTTGGGATGCTGACACAGATGGACTGCCTAGGCTACATAGTAAGTTGAAGAGCAGCCTGAACTACATAAATGAGACCCTGTCTCAAAAAAACAAAAACAAAAACAAACAAACCAAAGAACTACAGTAAGGCTGGGTATGTAGCCCAGTGGTAGAGTGCTTGCCTAGCATCTGATCCCCCGCACCACAAAGAAGAGGAGGAAGAAGAAAGAGGACAGGAAGAGGAAGAAGCAACAGCAGAAGCAGATGAATTATAATAACAGCAACAAAATATAATAGAAAAAAGATGTAGCTATATTCTACCTCGTTAGTTCTATATAAGAAATATATTGGCTGAGGGTATAGCTCAGTGGCATGGGTCCTGTGTGACAAGCATGAGGTCCTAAGTTTGACTCCCGGTTCAAAAAAAAGAAATATATTGATTTCCATATATAATTTTGTATCATACTACCTATTATCTGTGATAGTATTTCAGTTTAAATTCTCAGATTTTTTCGAATATACAATCATTTATTCTGAAAAAAGCAATAGTTTTACTTCCATATTTTTCATTTCTAGAGCCCCAACTTCCTTATCTTTTCGTTGGTTAGTACCTCAAATACAATGTTAACAATGGTGATAGTAGATATCATTGTTTTATTTATGGTTTAAAAAAAATCTTCTCAATGTTTCTCCTTTAAACATAATGGCCAATAACCTTTTAAATAACAATAATGTTTCTTTAATTCAAACACCTTATCCAAGTGTCAACATACTTGATTTGACAGAAAAAAAGCATTACCTGTAACATTTTTTTCCTTTCAACTTACTTGATAGTATTTGCAAAGCTGACTCGACGAGAATTTTTCTTATTTCTCAAAGCATTGGATTCCTAGGTGGAGAGAATATATGGTATGCCTCTTAATGAAACCACTGTGGATTAGTTCTTCAGAGTACCAGATACAGAGATCAAGTCTTCTTCTAAATTAATTTGGTATGATTTACCAAAATATCCCAATTTAGAGTACTTAATGAACATAACTATGATTTTCAATGAGTTCAATATGATACAACAAAGCAAGAAAGAGAGGGGACAAAAATGATATGTTACCTATTATGGTGATCTTATTATAATAAAGACTTTTAAAAATTTTAATTATAGTAAAATGTGTACAACATAAAATGTTAATTGTAGAATTTAGCTAATGAATAGATGAGGATTCACTGTAAAATTCTACCTTTTGATATGTCTGAAAACATTTTAAAGCAGATATGGTGGCACATGCTTATAATTCCAGCACTGTGGGAGGCTGAGATAGGAGGATCACAAATTCAAGCTCAGTCTGGGCAACTTAGTGACTTAGCAACACTCTGTCTCAAAATTTTAAAAAATTCTGGAGCTGTAGCTCAGTATTAAGGCCTTAGGTTCAATCTCTAGTACCAAAGGAAAGAAAGAAAGAGGAAAAAGAATGAAGGACTGGCCATATCAGAGATCATAGCATGTATAAGTACTTGTAGGCTTGAAGCTTATCTCTTGTTTGGAGACTAAACAACGGAATGGTGGGATATATGTGTGAAAGGGGCAAGAGAGAAGGCTGAAAAATAGGGTTTAAAGATTATTAATACCAGCACAATCAAGTTTTTGTTCTTTTTCTGGTACTGGGAATCAAACTCACGACGTTGCACTTGCCAGGCAAGCGCTGTGCCACTGAGCTAAATCCCCAGCCCCAGCACAGTCAAGTTTTTGGATTTTTTTTCCCCTGTGCTTGGGATCAACTTAGGACTTCGCACATGGTAGGCAACCATTTGACTACCAGGCTACATTCCCAGCCTGTACATGTTCGGATTTTGAACTGAAGATCAGAGAATGCTTATTCAAACAGGAATCATGTATGATGCTATGTCTTCATATAGCTAATAAAACTCCTAATTAAAAATAACACTTTGAAAATAGTAATCTATAAAGTATTTATACTACTTACCTGAACTGTTTCATTCCCACTTCTGAGGTCCTGAAGAGGACTCCTTGGGGGTTTCAAAATCTAGAAGTAATAATTAAGAATTATTCAAGTAAACCTGGCATATTTGTTAATAATCAGTATTTCAAGTTATCCCATAAAGAGAAAGCAAAGCTTTCTATAAAAATCCCTGAAACTCCTCAAAGTCATATTGCTCAGTATTTTGTGGCAGATTTAAATAATTGCTTTTTCCTGGTCTTGTCCCTAATTACTTTGGGTTTTTATTTTGTTTTAGTTTGTTTATGTTTTTTTTATCTTTTTGAGACAGGGTTTCACTATACAATTCAGGCTAGCCTTAAACTCACTTTGTAGGCCAGGCTGGCCTGGAACAGAGCGATCCTCCTGCCTCAGCTTCCTAAGTGTCTCCCTGATTATTTTGCTTCCTCTCATCCCATGTGGTCTATGTGAAGGTCCATACCAATTCTAGTAGCCCTGTCTAGAACAATCTGTTATTTGCTCATCAAAAATGATTGGTTCAGGAACAAAGACTTGACCCTATCAGGATAACTATACCAAAAGGATTCAGTTCTGAACCTTTTTTTTTTTAAATCTTGAAATAGATACTGTTTTTTAAATAGGACTTGAACTTTGAAATAGGGACAACCAGATGTACAACAGTAATCACAAGTAGAGAGTCTGTCTGCTAACAGATTGCCCAAAAGAAATAGTCAATAGAAAAAGAAAGGAAATCCTAGTAGGGTAACATTGTAGGAACCCCTGGTCAGAAAGTGGTGTCTATAGCCATCTGTCTCTATGATTTTTTCAGTCTTATAACCCAATATACATTTTATGCTTAAATCAGTTTGATTGGATTATTGTGTCTTGCAACAGCTTTGTACACTAGGTTAAATATAGTTTTAAACAGCTTTATTAAAGTATAATTTAAATAGCATAAGATTCATTGAGTTATACTAAAATTCATAATATATGAATTTTTATAGAATTTACATATTTACAGAATTGGGTAACCAGGTTAAATATTTGAGTCTTTATAGAGAGAATAATAGGGAAGGGGTTAAAGGGGAAACCATTCAAAATTACTGTGGTATACAGTCATTATTCTACCAAAGGTAAGAATTAATAATTAAAATGTTTCTTACTGAGGAGTGCCGTCTTCTAACAGTTCTCTCTGTATTATCACTGAAAAGAGGAAAAAAGAACTATGTATACATAGGTAAAAGATTGAATTTTCAAAAGCCATCATCACTTTCACTTAGTATTCTGGCCACCACCACTTGTATTCTGGCGCAAGACTTCAAATTCAGCACTTAGGAATTCAATGCTGTGTTTTTCACTTTGTTTTATTTGTTTTTGCAGTTGCAGGGATTAAACTCAAGAGTTTTGCACATGCTAAACAAGTATTCTACCACTGATTTATAAACCCAGGCCTGTTTTTAATTTTATTTTGAGACAAGGTCTTGCTAAATTGCCAGGCTGGCCCCAAACTTAAGATACTCCTGCCTCAGCCACCCAAGTAGCTATAATTACAAGTGCACCACCATACCAGGCAAACTCAGTGTTTTAAAATATACATTTGGGCTGGACGTGGTGGTGCACACCTATAATCCCAGCACTCGGGAGGCTGAGGCACAAGGATCACCTCAAGTTCATGGTAAGCATAGGCTACATAGGGAGTTCAAGGCCTGCCTGAACTATATAGTGAGACCTTGTCTCAAAAAAAAAAAAAAAAAAAAAAAAATTGTTTACTACAAGATTGGCTTTTTAAAAGAAATTACTGCAACTTTATTTTAAATTTCAAAATTATTTGTTTCACATGCTAGGCTCCTAAAGTCTAAGTCATGTACATGAATATAAAAAATAGGTGCTTTAAATATGGACAAAGTTCTATGTAACAATATATATTTTTAAACCAAATTTTCTATTTTTACAACAGAGTAAAAAACTAACAATAAGAAGTACATATGATTATTTCAGTGTTCTCTTTTCAAATATATGGCTTGGAAGGTAGGTTACTTAAGTGTTCACATCACTTTAAAAATCCAGCTACTGGGCTGGGTATTTAGCTCAGTGGCACAGCGCCTGCCTGGCAAGCGCAAGGTTGAGTTTGATTCCCAGTACCGGGAAAAAAAAAAATACAGCTACAGGTCAGGCATGCTAGTATATGCCTATAATCCCAACACTTGAGAGGCTCAGCTAGGCTACACAGTGAGTTCAAGGCTACCCTGAACTACATAATGAGACACTATTTTGAAAAAAATCCAAATCCAAAGCAGCCAATAGATTTATATTAATTATAACATTTTCCCTCTGTTAACACTTTATTTACTGTGATTCATAGAAGCTCCATGAAGGGTCATCAATTAAGAATCTCTCCAGGTTAGAATCACAATCAAATTTTGGAACACTTTTGTATTTGTTGCTTGACTGTTTGTAGTTCAGGCTGGCCTCAAACTCCAGCCAACCCTCCTGCCTCAGCATCCCTGTACTAGGATTATAGGAATGTGCCACCACACCTGGAAAATTCTGAGCCTCTTATCAAAAAAGTATGAAAATGCCCAAATTTGGAGGAATGGGTAGGTGCCAATAATCTGCAAGGTAGTATCCTTCAGATAATGACAATCTTAGCTAAGCCTCAGAGTGACCTTTGAGCGGGTAGTAGTTCACTTTTATCAAAGAGAAATCTTTACAACTGAGGGCACTAGGTCCCTGGAGTTGATTTGAAGGACACATATTGAATGCAATGATAGTGAACCTTTTAGAGACCAAGTGTACAAAGCACCAACACTGCAATTAAACCTGAATAATGAAATTATAGTTTAGAAAAAAATAACTTCTATCCAATCTTTGAGTGCTGGGTCAACTTGGCTTGCATGCTGACAGAGGGCTCTGTGTGCCCACTGCAGCAAGCATGCCATAGGCTCACTACCACTGGAATAGGGTGTTATTTCTTAGAAGGTTCCTTTCCCAATTTGCTTGCAGTTTTTTTTCCTTCTTTAACTTTTGTCTGAGGCTTTGATTCAGTAATTAACTTGGGAGAGCAGGAGGCATTTCCACTTCTTTCAGGTAGGTAGGCTTTATATTACCTGGAATATCTATGAGCTTCATACATTTTGTTTCCCTTCTTTGGCTACATATCCAATGGCAGATTTTTGTGAGGAGAAAAAGTGGCTGTGAGCTTTTGTAGAAATTGATTTTTCTAAATGCAAGTTGCTATCTTCTCACTGTTAGGACAGGTTCATTTTTTTGTTTGTTTGTTTTTCCAGTACCGGGAATCGAACTCACAACCTCACGCTTGCCAGGCAAGCGCTGTGCCGCTGAGCTAAATCTCCAGCCCCCAGGACAAGATTATGCCTGCTCCTTCTGAGGTGAGAATCTAGCAACTTCTTCCACTTCAGAATTGCTGGCACATTTTTTTGTTTGTTTGTTTTTTGAGACACAGTCTTGCTCTGTAGTTCAGGCTGTCCTTGAACTCACTGTGTAGTCCAAGTTGACCTCAAATTTGCAGTGATCCTCCTGCCTCAGCCTCCTGAGTGCTGTGATTACAGGTTTGCACCGCTATGACCAGCTTGGCCCTATGTCTTTAGGGGTGGTTATATGCACAAGTAGCAGCACCTCACATCTCTTTTTGAATACAGATGAGATAAGAAAGTAGGGTGTGGCAAAGCTGGCTGGGGAAGTAGGTATGACCTGCTAATTACAAGATCCCAGGCACACGTATAGAGCATTTTCCAAAGCCCTGAACATGGACTTTTCACAGGAACTCAAGTAGGTTTTCAATGGTACGGCCTAGACCTGATAGCCTGAGGTGTGGGATCCTAGCACGCCTTCTCAGGACCTTCATGTAGAAATTTTTGAGAGTTTCCTTGAGATTTGAACAGCATAAAAGGTACACCAACACCATGAAGAGTTTGCTACCATAACCACAATAGCCCATGCTGCATTTCCCAAACACAGTGTGTACTTTTATCTTGTTCTTACCCTCCTTTTCTCATTACTCACCCAAGCTCACTCTACAGAGCCAGTTTCTCCCCAACTCTTCACTTCTGCTTTCTTAAATAAATATTGCCACTGCTTTTTGCTCATTTTCTTCAATTCTTTGTTCAAGATGAAAAGAACCTGGAATCTAACTCCAGAAGGAGAAGTGAGCAACCCAGAACCCAGCAACATTTAGTTGGTGGGCCACTTTTAAAAGCAATCTACCTCGAGGTTGTGAGTTTGATTCCCGGTACCAGAAACTCCCCCCCACACACACACAAAAAAAGCACACTACCCGATAACACAGACATTTCAGTCTTCTCTTCGGGTTCATACTTTAGTTTTAATTCATTTAGTTTAGCTCTAATTTTCACATTTTTACTTTCTGAAAGCTGGAGAGTGCTTTCATTTGCAAAAACTTTTTGCTCAATAACCAAGGCCTGCGGGCTCTCAAATAAAGTTTTCACTCACGGTATAGACAATTCACCTTTGGTACTTTCATTTTTTTAAAGTTATCAAATTTTAGCTGAAAAAAATCTATATATAGTAGATAGGTATTATCTTCCAGAGCACCAGAATTGGCAGGTATGAAAGCCTTAGATTCCATACTTTCATATAAATTTGTAAACTTCTCAGATTTCTAATTTCACCTAAAAGATGTTTTATTTTACCATTCTTCTGCTCCAACATGGCAAACAACCATTCCTGCTGCACAAATTCAGTTTGAGAACCTTTCATCTGCAGTAGTGTGACAATGTGTAACTTCATTCTTTGCATTTGTTCTCTATTGAATGCATTTTGCTTCTTTTTTTTTTTTTTTTTTGGTTTTTCTCGGTACCAGGAACCGAACTCATGACCTTGCACTTGCCAGGCAGGTGCTTTTGCCGCTGAGCTAAATCCCCAGCCCCGCATTTTGCTTCTGTAGTGACTGATATGTACTTGACTTTCATAGTGATAAGCTAGCATTCCATTGCTGCCCTCTATCTTCCACTTCTGCAAAGAGTTGCCTTTACTACTGGTATCCCACGTTTGCTGGAGTGACTGACTCAATTGCACTTGAAGATCTTGCTTTTCTACAGAAGCTTTCAAGACTTGTAGTAAGAAACTGCATCTTTTTCCTGCTTTTTTTTCTCTTCCCTAGGCCAGTCTACCTGGCGCATTAAGTTAGTTTTAAGACTTTCTACTTGCTCCTGTCTGATGTAGTTCATTCACTTCTCTAACAGTGGCCTTCATGCTTTCCATTTCAGTCAGTTCAATCTGAAGAGCCAGTATCTCTGAAAACATGCTTTCACTTACACACTCAGACATTATCTGTATTTCCTGATTTCAGAGGACTTCTTTCTGGTGATCTTTGTGCTGCAACCGCTTTTCACTAATCCTAGCTTTATCTGTTTTCAGTTTTTTTCTAAAATATTTTTTAGTTTCATTTACTCCCTGCCCATGGCTTCTACTCAGTTGTTCTTCTAATGGCTCTTGCTGCATTTTCTGTTGCTGTTTAATGCTCATTTGTTTGGAGAGAGGGTCTCACTATATGGTTCAGGCTGGTCTCGAACTCATAACGATCCTCCAGCGTCAGCCTTCCAATTGCTGAGATTATAGGCATGTGCCACCATGCCCAGATTGCTGTTGTTCAATGGCTTCACGTTCACAGCTCAAGCTTCCTAACATTCCACTCAAGCCCAGGCTGATCTCCAATTCTCATTGATTCTCCTGCCTCAGCCTCCCAAGCGCTGAAATTACAGGCATGCATCACCATGCCCAGCTTAACATTTGACTCTTGAGTTCAACCGCTCTCTGAAGAGCATATTTTTCTTGTTTATAATTGTCAGTTATAGGGCTGGGGATATAGCTCAGGGGTATAAGCACCTGCCTGGCAAGTGCAAGGTCGTGAGTTCAATGCCCAGTACCGCCAAAAAAAAAAAAAAAAAGTCAGTCATAGTGTTCATTTCATTATTTATCCAATTGATTCAATTCTGCAACTCATTTTGGCCCTCCAGTAGTTGTAAACTATACTGTGAGCTATTAGTCGCTTTTTTCAATGTCTACGTTTGCTTTGAAGATCTGCAATTATATCTGCATACATGTTCTTTTCTTGTTTTTAGCCTCACTCCTTCCCCTAGCTGTTGCAGCAAGGGGGTCTGGTTCAAAGCGGGAGGATATTAACTTTCTTATTCATTCAGGAGTCTCTGTTAAGTGCCAGGCAACTCTGTTTTGAGTAACAGTCTGTACAACATAATTTACCAAATTTAGTGAGGTATAATACAAATGGGCTACAAATCAAGAGATTCTAGCTCTGGTCTTAGGACTGTGATTTTTAGACCAGGCTTTGAAAATATAAATGCCCATAAGGTGAAATAGGTAATTTGTTAGGAGTAAGAAAGGTAGTATGGAGACTTTAATGACTTGGAGAATTCCTGGCTGGGCTAAAGATCACAGTCATTAGCCAGTTCCAGTGAGCTGTTCAAAGTAATACATGAGGGCTGGGGATGTAGCTCAGTGGCGTAGCACCTGCCTGGCAAGTGTGAGGTCCTGAGTTTAATTCCTGGTACAAAAAAAAAAAGTAATATATGAGCCCAGAATTGCTAAAATTGGTTTGTTTTGGGAGATGGGGGTCCTGCTTTGTAGTGCAGGCTGGCCTGGAACTCACAGTGATCCTCCTGCCTCAGCCTTCCAAGTACTGGGATTAAAGGTATAGGTCACCATACTTGGCTAAAATGCATTTTTCAAGAGAAGCTGAAAATCTAATTATTTTATGAAATCTGGAGATTTTGTAATTTTGGAAACTAATTCAAAAATTAATGAAAATGTATAGACCAAATATAGGTCTATAGCCCACAAACAGTTTGCTGGTTGGGAATCCCAGCTTTAGACAAATCATTTCATTTCCCTGGGCCTCAGTTTTCTCATCTTTAAACTAAGAGATGGCAGGTAACGTTTAAAGTTTCTCTAGGTTTTGACTCCAAAAGAATTTATACAAAGATGACAAATGAGGTTATTACTTCGTAACATTTACTTCTTTTCCCTGGGACATAATGAAAAAAGATTTTAGAAGTTATTGATAATTCTTATCAGTTGGAAAAGTATCTTTCTCTGACAGTTTAACTTTTTTTTTTCTCTTTGAGATAGAGACTCACTTGGTAGGCCAGGATGGCCTGGAACTCAAGATTCTATTCCCTCAGCCTCCTGAATGCTGATTAGAAGTGTGTGCCACCATGACTTGCAAGTATAATATTTCTAGCTGCACTTAATGAACTTACTTTTCTTCATTGGCCTCTGAAGACATTCCATCCATTTTTGAAGAAAACTTTTCTGTAACAAATACACAATATTAGAAAAGGTGAGAAAGAAGGAATATATAATCTATGAAGAAATTAAGAACACAGTTGTGATTTTAGGGTTACCTTCTAAGAGAAGACCAAAAATAAGAAAGATAATAGCTAAAGTGTAAGCTCTAAGCCAGGAACTATTTAAAGGAATTCATTAAACTACTGTGTTAATACTCTTAGAAAATTTTCATATTCAAGATAAGAGCTGTGAATAGAATGATATGTACTTTACTGGGACAAATAAAATTTTGTGTACTTCATAAGAGCTTATGGACATTATAATTCAACCCTGAAATACAAGTTAGATATTTAAAATGGTAGATTTGTATCATACACATATTTATCTTTTAAAAACTGAATAAGTACTCAGTAAAAAAAGAGATAAAAATAGTGCAGCTAATTATGATTAAAATTCTAATCAATAAGAATTTGCCTTAAAAAGAACATGAAGAGGAATAACCTGAAATTTTTTTAACTAGTCTCAGCTCCTATGTACCCATAAGTTCTATAGATTTTCCCTTAATGTGTAAACTCTAGACCCACACTTCAGGATAAGAAAAAAATGTCACTGCAGATTAAAAGAAAAGTAACTAGAAGTTTTTATCTAACTGTTATTAGCTTTTTCACCAATAATAGTTAACAGTATTTTTATTTTATTTTATTTTATTTTATTTATTTATTTAGTCTTTTTGAGACAGGGTCTCACTATGCAATTCAGGCTGCCCTTGAGTTCACCTTGTAGCGTAGGCTGGCCTCGAACTTGGAAGGATCCTCCTGCCTCAGCCTTCTGAGTGCTGGGATTATAAATGCTGGGATTACAGGCGTGAGCCACCATGCCTGGCTTAACAGTATTTTTAAGAACCAATAACAAGGGCTAGGGATTTAGCTCAGCGGCACAGCACCTGCCAGCCGGGGGTGGGGGGGACCAATAACAAACATCAGCTTAATGGTTAAACTGAAAACTTTCCTTCTAAAATCAAGCAATACATATGACCCTCACTCATTCCATTAATTTTTATCTTGAGTACCACCCCTCAGTTCAGGTTGCCATGATCTCTTATAGAATACTGTAATATATACCCCCCTGGTATCCCTGTTTTCATTCTTATTCCTCTACAATCCTTTCTCTACACACCAGCTAGTTATCTTATTAAAGCATAAATGAAAGTTAAGACATTGCCTACTTAATCTTTCAAAGGTTTGCATCTTTATCAGGATCTACAAAGTTCTACAGAATCTGGTCCCTGCTTGTCTCTCAGACTTCATCTCTCACCACTGTTTTCCTCGTTAATTATGCTGGCTATACTAGCCTTTCAATTTCTGTGTACACAGAATTGGTATTCATAAACCAATACATTTATACATTTACATTTGCTATTCTCCCTTGGCAAGAAAGGCAAGCAAAGCACTCTTGGTAGCACTGCATATGTCTCCTCTGTAGCACTACCAGAACTATAAAGTTCTAGGGGCTGGGGATTTAGCTCAGTGGCAAAGCGCCTGCCTGGCAAGCACAAGGTCGTGAGTTCGATTCTTGCCACCAGCAGAAAAACAAACAAACAAACAAACACAAAAAATAAAATTGTGCCATATAAATGAATTATTTCTGCCATCTCCCCAAACTTTCCCCACTAATAAGTTATAGGAATAGAGCTGATATGTGTCATGTTCACTGTTATAGCCTAGCAGTACTGTACTTTGTAAACAGCAGAAGCTCAATAATATACCGATGGATGAGTAATTTAATAATTATTTTAAGTTACCTGGGCTGGGAATGTAGTTTAGTGGTAAAGCGTGTACTTGGTATACATAGAGCTCTGGGTTTGATTTCCAGAACCATAATTAAAAATAAAATAAAGTTGCCTTTATAATTATCAACTTGCTTTTTATTTTTGTACTGGGAATTGATTCCAGGGTTTTATGAATGTTAGGCAAACAGTCATCACTGAGCTACATCCCCAGACCTTTTAAAAAACATTTTAGGGCTGGGGATATAGCTCAGCGGTACAAGTGCAAGGTCCCAAGTTTGATTACCAGTACAAAAAAGAAAAATTTATTGGCCTGGGATATAGTGCAGCAGCACAAGCGCCTGCCTGGCAATTACAAGGTCCTGAGTTCGAATCTCACACTGCCTAGTAGCTGAGCTTTCAAGGTATGTACCACCAACCCCAGCCCAGTTTACATAATTTTGTCTCCTTTGCAAATACTTTCAAACTCAGTCCACATACTCAAAATCCACAGGAAAAAAATTACTATTACCTCAAGGTCACCTAAACATTGGAATAACTGCATCATTTCTGTCTTGCCTACAGACCAATTAGCACTTAAGTAACTGATGAGATTCAAAGCTTAAGTCACACTTTCTTAATATTTTACTTACTGCATAACTAAGTTCCATCTTCAACCAAAATAAGAAACCTCAGGGGCTGGGGATTTAGCTCAGTGGCATAGCGCCTGCCTGGCAAGTGCAAGGTTGTGAGATCAATCCCCGGTACCAGAAAAAAAACCAAAAACAAAACAAAAAAAAAAGAAACCTCACACTAATATGCTAAATCTCATTTATAAAACTCTGTCATGACTGAACTCTTGATTCCTGCCATACTAACTGATGATCGATTGACTCCAAAACCATGCACCTGGTATCTAGGAGTACTGTAGCATACTAGAGGTATTTGGATATTTTAAGTTTCTGAGACACACTGCCATTCTTTTCTCCCACTCCCAATCTCACCAGTACGAGGGCTTAACCTCAGGGTCACTCTAACACCAAGTTACATCCTCAGCCCTTTTCATTTTGAAATAGGATGTCATTAACTTTCCTGGGTTGTCACTGAATTTGCAATACTCTTGACTCAATTCCAGAGTAGATGGGATTATAGGTGCGTGCCACCATCCTACACATACAGCCATTCTTGACATTTGTCAGGCACTACTGCTCATACAATATTAGCCTTAATAACATATTGTGGAATTACATCATTGACAGTATAAATAAAAGCAAGTACTTTTTATCAAAGTAGTTTTGGAAATGAAAGTGGCATTGTACAATCTGATTTCAAGTTTTGAGAAGTTGTGCACTGTCTAAGAGTTAACACGTATTGAATTGTTGAGGATTATTTAAGAAAAAAGCAAAAACAGTCTTTCCCTTCAATTCACACATTTTAAGAAAATGGCTACTAAGTTGTTAGGCCATAAATATTCTATATTGTTTGGATCTACTTAATAAATGGAACTATTAGGCCTTTCTTTTAGCTTAATGGTGCCACCTGAGGGAAGAAAGTTTGAGAGCCACTAGTCTAAATAACCCAGAGGGCCAGGTGGTGCATAACTATATTCCCTGAGACTGAGGCAGGAGGATCACCATAAGTTTGAAGCCAGCCTGGGCTACATAGTGAAACCCTGTCTCAATAAGTAAATAAATAAATAAAAATAACCCAGAGGTCTGCAAACCACTAACACCGGGCCAAATCAACCCTGAGCTAAGGGCAGTTTTTACATTTTTAGTGGATTGTAGAAAACAAAGCAAATAAGAACAGAACAACATGCCAGTGACCATGTATCCTTCCAAGCCAGAAATACTTACTATCTGGTTCTTTGTCCTGAATTTACACTACCAATATCTATAAAGCAAATATTTTTGCAGTGTCCAATGATATAGACTCTGGGCCTGTGCTGTCCAATATAGCATTTACCTGTAATTAAAATGAAACACAATTTAAAATTCAGGTCGCAATAACTACATTTCAGGTACTCAATAGTCACATGTGGGTAACTGACACTGTGTTGGACTATGTGGATATAAAATATTACCATTATCACAGAAAGTTCTATTGGAGACCACTATCCTACTATCAATAGCTACAGTCAGCACCGTCTCGTTTCTTATTTACCATCAAATACATAATTAATTCCAACATTTCAAATACTTTTCCTCAATTTACATGTATTTGTCATCTTGTAAACATTTCCAGCTATGCACATGGTCAAGGAGAATTCTACTGCTTGAAACCTAATCTTTAATTTCCAAAGTCTTACAACATACTGACTCCCCATCCGTAAATCATCCCTCCATGTTCCACTTCAAAAGTGATCCCCTGAAGGCGACTTTATTCTCCATAGCCAAAAGCATGAAATCAGCTCTCCCTTCTCTGTGTTACCATTTAGCCTATTTTGTATTACAGTTACTTGCATATATTAACCATTTCCTTTTCTGGACTGAGAACACCTCTATTGCGGGGGGGGGGGGTGGACTCTGAAGGATTCACTCTGAGCCCTAGGTACAAGACAGTTCCGATTCCACTAAATGAAACTGACTTCAATCTTAATATCTAGAGTAAACCTTTGCTTTGGTCTTCATCCAACAGCTTTCATCTCTGATAACGCCTAATAAAGCTATCTTTAAAAAGAAACTATCTTTAAAATTCCAATCAACAATAATTTTTTTTTCCAATTCTAGTATTTAAATAAACAGCAAGAAAACAGGTTTTAACCTGACCCTGAATAATGAATGCAGGAAGATTTTTAAAAATTACTTTGTGGCACTTTTTAACGGTATACCGCGAACAACCAGAAAGTTGCGGCGCTGCTATGGCGCAGTCTGACCCGACGCTGTAAATAAACCATGGCGAGCCGAGAATTTAAACATCGCTCACCGCTGTCACTTCATTTACAGCCCAGAAAACTTCACGTCGGAAATACAAACGCCCCGAGCTCCCGGGGACAAGCCGCGGGGTGCGAAGAAAAGCCGGGAGCCTTGACAGAAGATGGCGCGGTGGCGCGACGGAGGGTGACCGACGGCCCAGGGCGCGAGGGAAGGCCGGCACAGCCCAGCGGAGGGTCGACGGCCGAGCCCGGCCCCGCGGCCGCCACAGCACCTTGGGCCTGGCGCTTTCGAAGGCCGCCTGGCTCACCGAGCCTTCCCCACCTCCCACAGAAGGACTTTCCGAGGGCTCAGACAAAACCCACGCCCGCCCAGAAGTCCAGAACGCAAGGCACCGCTCCTTACCCGCTGCAGCCCACCAGCTCGAATTGTTTCGGGGTCCGCGCGCTCCTCGGAAAAGACGTCACCTTCCCCACACCCAGTCAGCCTCAGTGAAGTATTCAAATCTAACCGCCCAGCTGGCACGCATGCGCACAGCCGCTCGACGCGGCGGCCCCGCCCCTTAGACGCCACAATGGCCCCGCCCCTCAGGTCCCTTGCCTTGAAGCTCTTTGCTAGCCTCTGTGCCAGCTCAATTTCCTTCAAGCTTATCTCATTTTCTATCCAATTTTCTTCATCCCTCCTAAATCAGACTTCCTCACATCATGGGAGCAGCCATCTTCTTTCAATTATTTGCTGTCGTGATCATACGAAGGTTTCCGTACAAAATGGCGACTTTCACAACATTGCGTCACATCCCACTAGTGTCACTCCCTATAGCTATCAGGAAGAGGAAGGCTTCGGGGACGAGGTGGCCGAGTGGTTAAGGCGATGGACTGCTAATCCATTGTGCTCTGCACGCGTGGGTTCGAATCCCATCCTCGTCGATTGCAACAATCTTTTTTGCCCCCAGGTTTATAACCAACGAATGTAAATTTATTTGGAGATCAGAAATAATTCAGTATTCGGTTTCATGTTCCGGTGCTGGTCTCACCAAATGTAAAATAGTCTAGCTCCCAGTTGAGAAGTTTCCATTATTACGGACCCTTGCCCTAGGCTTTTAATACGCGTCTTGATTATAAAACTCCAGGTTTCACTACGAAAGCTACGGAGAGTTCGGGATTTTCTTCCAGGCTACAGGTACTCAAGAAATGAATACGCTACGCAGCATTAAAAAGATGTTGACCTTGCTTCTCGGGAGACTGGAACAGGAAAATCTTAAGTTCGAGATCGGCCTGAGAAAGTTAGCAAGACTGTCTCAAAAATTAAAGGGCTAAGGATATAGTTCAGTGCGAAGATCCCTGGGTTCAATTCCCCAGTACCAAGGGGAGGGTGAGTTGAATGAATTGTAAGCCTTGGTACTATTTAAAAACCAGAGCCATCCCAGCACTCGGGAGACTGAGGCAGGAGGATAACCATAAGTAGGAGGCTACCTTGGGATACATGTGAGTTTAAGGCCAGCCTTAACTACACAGTGAGACCCTGTCTCAAAAAAAGAAAAAGAAAAAGAAAAAGAAACCAGAGATTGAAGATGACCAGAAACATGCCTCCTTCCCAGAGGTCTGCAAGGGGCGTTAAGTCCTCTCCTCGATTCCACCTGGGAAGGCGGAGCCGGAAAAGAGAAGATTCCCTCTTGCCAGTTTACTGAGGCAGAGTCATTCAACTCCCACTTTACTGCTTTATTTATCCAGCCCTTATCTACAGGCACCACAGGTATTCCATGAGTTACATCACTATAACCCACCACAATCCTGTGATTGTGGTAGATATTACTTCTCCACTCCACAGATGAAGACACTGAAAGATTAACTTGCCCAAGGTTGTACAATTCCTAAGTTGCAGAAAGGAGACTGGAGCTCAGATCCATCGGACTCTCGTGCTGCTGAACTGCCATCCGACATGGTCCCTCATCATTCACTTGCAGTGCTGGTTTATAGCCTCTGTCTCCCTTGAAGTGTCCTGCAGCACAGTCCTGCAAAACTCAGCACAAGACAGCTGCCTCTGCAAGGTTTGGGGAGGGTAAGAGGTGGCAGCGCTTGTCTGCTGACTCCACTGGGTCCCCTCTTAGATCCAGATCCCCTGGAAATGTTGATACTTTCATTGGCTGAGGACTTTTTAGGTCGCCTGTCTTCAGCCTGGCTCTCCAATTCATTCTGTTTGCTGCTGCTAGGAAGGGTTCACGTCCCACACATTCCTAAGGGGTCAGTGGGTAGAACAGTGGGGTTTTTGTTTTGATTCTGGAGACTGAACACAAGGCCTTGTACTGAAGGACAACGCAGTGCCCCGCCCCACATATGCACACACTGCTGCTTAAATTTTTTTAAATTTTGAGACAGGGTCTCACTAAGTTAAGTCATTAAGTTTCCCAGGAGGAGCTTAAACTTGTGATCCACTTTTTGTTATTGTTGTTACATTATGTACTTCAGGTTAGCCTTGAACTCACAGCAATCCTCTTGCCTCACCTTCCCAAATGCTGGGCTTACAGGCATGCACTATCGTGTCTGGCTAGTGGCTATTTGACTGAGAAAAAAGATTATACCCTGATTTTCATGCTCTCATTGAAAGTATTTCCTTCACTTTTTTTTAAAAAAGTATTTCCTTCATAAAGATAAGCGACAAACTACAGTAATTTTAACCTTACTTTGTCACCAATAAAAATCAGATATTTGTATATCACAGTACTATTACCATTTCATGATTTGAATGTGTTCCCCAAAGTTTGTGTGGTGGAAACCTGGTCCCCATACAGCAGTGTTAAGAGTTGGGACCTTGGAAGGTGAGGCAGCACCTTCATGAATGAATGAAATCCTCACTGTTACCAGATTGCCATAGGGTTGGTTCTGTCATAAAAAGTCACTTCTCTCTGGCAGGTGTGCTCTGTCTGGCCCTTCCACCATATTACTGCATATCAAGAAAAACCCTCAGCAGATTTCTCAGCGTCTAGAACTGGAACCAAATAAACCTCTATTCTTTATGAATTACCCAGTCTCACCCAGGTGTGGTGGTATACACCTGTGTTTCCAGCACTTAGAGGCTAAGGCAGGAGGATTAAAAGTCTGAGCCCCGCCTGGGTAACTTAGCGAGTTAGTGAGAACCTGTCTCAAAATTAAAAATTAAAAGAAGGGCTGGAGATATAGCTCTGTGCAAAACCCCTGAGGTCAAACTCCAGTACCATCACCACCATCAAAAATAAATTAATTAATTAAAAATTACCAAGTTTTAGGATTTTGGTTATAGTAACTGAAAACAGAGAAAGACAATACTCATCACTTCGAAACTATGGTAATTAGTAGACCTACTATTAGCTCTTGTGATGTTACGTGTTCATGAAGAAATACATAAATCACATTATTGTAATGCAAAATTTAAAAACATATTGATAGTTATATCGTGGTATACTCCATTGCTTTTGTATTTCAACATAGTTTTATGGATTTATAAGCAACCCTTTCCTGGAGATGTAGCTCAGGGATAGAGCGCTTGCCTACCATGTGCAACAACCTGGGCTCAACCCCCAGTACTGCAAAAACAAAGCAAAACAAAAACCAAACAACTTCCTGAGACAAGTTACATAGGCTTCACCAGACTGCCAAAGGGGTCTGGGTTACAGAAAAGATTAAGAGCCATTCTTATTTTATTATTATTATTCTAGGGGTTGAACCCAGGTCTTTATACTGAGATACATTTCCAACCTGCTCCCTTCAATTCTTTAAGTTTATTTATTTATTTATTTTTGACTGGGCTTTTTTTTGAGACAGGGTATCGCTGTGTAGTTCAGGCTGGCCTTGAACTCACTACAGAGCCCAGGCTGCCCATGAACTTGCAAAGATCCTCAGATTACAGGCACTTGCCACCATGCCCGTTCTTTGGTTGGTTGGTTGGTTGGCTGGTTTGAGACAGGGTCTCACTAAATTACTAAATCACTCAAGCTGGGCTCTAACTTGCAGTCTCCTACCTCAGCCTCCCACGGTGTGGGCCTACAGCAAGCACCACCACACAGGCAGAACCTTTTGAGATCACCTTGGGGACCCTAATCTCACCCTTCCCTGAAGGAGAACTGGTCTGTCTCCACTGCACCCCAAGATGCTGTCCCTACGCCCCAGCTGAGACAGGCCTCTGCCCTCTGCTGTCCAGCCTGTCTGTGGCTGGCTCCTGCTCATCCTCATCAGCAGCCCTCTCTCACCTAGCCTTGCAATCTACAGCTCCCTCCATCTCCCTCGCCTGTCTCTGTACCATCTCTTGCCTCTCTCTTGACTTGTACACCATGTAGATGCCATCTGAGTATTTCCCCAGCAGCCAGGCTGTATTGAAATTGCCCAGCAATCCCATAAGCTCTCTAGAGATCCGCAGGCCCATGCTACTTTCTGAGCTTTGCCAGCTTCTTGCAATGGTGACTTCCTTAGAAAACTTGGAAAGGACTATCAGTGTGTCCAGTTTCTATAAATAAAAGGCGTGTGGATTGTTTTCTTTAAAAGAAGTCTCAGCTGAGTGTGGTGGCACATGCCTGTAATGCCAGCACTCTGGGAGGCTGAGGCAGGAGGATAGCAAATTTGAGGCCAGCCTTGGCAATTTAGCAAGACCCTGTCTAAGAAAAAAAAAAAAAAAAAAAAGTAAGTGCTTGGCTACATACCTGTAATGCTAGCACTCAGGAGACTGACACAGGAAGATTGCTGCAAATTTGAGGCCAACCTGTGAGTTCAAGACCAGCCTGAACTACCTAGTGAGACCATGTCTCAAAAAAAAGATAAACAAAAAGTAGCCATGTAGCTCAGTGTAAACTGGGTTAAATCACCAGTGCCCAAAAGCAAAATAAAACAAACAAAACACACACCAAAAAAAACCTTTAGCTGCACAAATTGTGAAAATACAATGTACCACTCAGGAAGCTGAGGTAGGAAGATAGAAGTTTAAAGCCTGCCTGGACTACATAGTATGACCCTGTCACATAAATAAAGAAAAAGTTTGTTAAGTGGAAGCTCAATTAACAAATTCCAATTCCAATCCCTCTGTCCTTTACTTCTTTAGAGTTTAGCTGTTTACCTGTTTTTTCTTTCCTACAAAAGTACTTTGACTTGCTACATTGTATTAGTTTATGTATTTCTGATAATCTCCCGAGCTATGCTTATTTTCCTTTTTTCTAAGAGAGAATAAAGAGCCAAGAATATGCCAAATTATTTTAAAATCCAGAAAGACAAATATCTGAATTAATAATGGCAAACAATAGAATACTCTAGGCTGATTAAAAAGAGCTAGGGGCGCCATCTACTGGAGAAGCTGCAGCGGCAGGACTTGGACAAGATTGTTCTACAGGAACGCTTGAACCTTTGGGAGAGACCATTACCCCTCAAAATT